AGATACCCTGAAGTATCTAAAGTACTCATACCCTGTGTCTTATTATGGTCCCAATGACATAAGATATAAAAAGTTATCTTTCAAAAGGAAACATCTCAATTATTTTAATTGCTGGTTAGACCCTAAGGAATTTGTGATTAAGAGCTGTGTTCCATGAAGTAGTGAAAACTTTTTTTTTTTTTGGCCTTATTTCTTAGAAGCAGTTCAGCAAGCATTTCATGGAAATATGGAATACTGAATGAAATGTGACAGCACACAAAATGAAAGCAGTAACCTGGAATCAGCTCACCGTATTTTAGTTCTACCACTGCAAAATAGGTGGCTCACAATGACACATTATCAAAACTCACAAAGATTATGGAACTTCCTCCATTTGTCAAATGTTTATATTTGTCCCTAAAGAATTTTGTATAGGGGATAAATGTCAGAATGCTCTACAGCTTTCTTCAGCTTCGAATATGGCAAAAGTCTTTCACTCCCGGCCTTACACTCAATGGGACTTCCAGATACTCTGGATTTTTTATGCTGCAATTAAAATTTCAACTAAGTTATCCTCTTCTAATGTAAAGATTTTAATGTACAAGTGATTAAACGTGTATGTAAATAACAACTCCTTTAAGTGAAAAGAGCAATGAAGTGTTTGAAAATGCCTAACTTGCAACAAGGTCAAAGCTTAGACAGCAGGAAGAATGGGCACATAATGCACTGCTGTCCACAAAGCGGTTAGGGCAAAACAAACACTTCTCTCAACTTCAAATAAAACAAAACCCTTTAACTCCAGATCTCATTATCAGCAACATTGTTGTGACTTTGTGCTGAACACGGGGAGAGGGAGAAAACAAAACAGAAAACAAAAATACAAATAAGCAGGTCCTCGAGGAAACCACTCTTTACCAACCGCTTCAAAACTAGTGACCACCCGAACTCACTATAGAATAAGACTTTGGGGACTCAAAATAGATTAATACATTACTATGAACCACAATACCCCCAGCTATGACAAAATCTATCTACCCTGGGCTAGCAATCATTTAACCTTTTTGAGGTTCTCCCTTTTTGAGAACCTGACTGTATATACAGAATACCAAGTAACCCCACTACAGCAGTTTTGCTTTGTTTATCCAAGGATAAACTAGTTGTCCATCAGTTTGTGGCCCTGATGAGTTTTCTGGAGGTGTAAGGAGAAAAAAAAATCAGTGCTAGGTATCCCTTGAGAAGATATGTCTAACAGCTACATATCACAGCATCCTTGAAAGGAAGGTTTTTCAGATGATTAACATGACATGCTGGTCTGTCTATACTCTGAACTCAAACACGAAACTCACCCAATTATAGAACCCACCTTAGCTCAGGTCCATAGTTCCTGGTAAAGAATGGAAGAGACAAGGTTCAGAAAGAACCAATATCCAGAATGTATTCTTATTTGTCTTGCAAATCTTCAGCTAAGTATGCATAGGGAGGACCAAGGCCAGTCTTAAGACAATAAAGAGGCAATCCAGGATGGGGCCGAAGAGAGCATAAGGCTACAAGGAGGGGATCAGTTCTCCTTCAACCAGCACTACCGCAGTCCAAGTTGCCAACATCTTCTCTCGTGTTGATACTTCAACAGCCTCCTGGCTGGTTTCCCTGGATAAACTCTCCATTCTCTGCATCACAGCCAGAGTGATCTTTTAAAAATGTAAATCTGATCATACTTTACCAGTTACCAAGTTGTATGACCTTGAGCAAATTACTCAGGGAAAATTACTCAACCTCTCTATGCCTCAGTTTCCTCATCTGTAAAATAAGGATGTAGTTCCAGGGCTGTTATGAGGATAATGACCTAATATTTATAAAGAACTTGGAACAATAGGTAACACAAGTAAGGACTAAATACGTATCTGCTATTATCATTTTACCACCCACCCACTTCCCTGCCTTAAAAACATTTCAATGGTTTTCCTTTGCTCTAAAGCTAAAGTTCAACCTCATTAATATGAACTATAAAAGCTCCACATGATCTGACTCTACCACTCACCAGTCTCATCTCAAGTCGCTCTCCTCCTCACCACTCCCTAGCAACACTAGCCTTCTTGCAACTCCCAAAAGGGGCCATCCTCCTGCCTACCTCAAGACCTTGGCATATGAGATGGCCCCTGCCTCAGCTTTTCTCTCCCATGCTTCATGTGGCTAATTCGCATCTCTCAGATCTCAGCTTAAGTGATGCTTCCTTAAGGAACACTTCCCTGATCTCTCAGCCCACCTGAGATACCCATGTTACCCTCGTAGCACCCTTTCTAAGCACAGAAATACACAAATAATGATATCATTACACTGTGGTATCGTTTAATGTCTGTGTCCATTAGTATGTAACTGCCATGAGGTGAAGGACCTTTATCTGTCTTATTCACTACTTTATCCCAAGTGCTTTGCCCAGCACCTGGCACGGAGGAGTGTTGATTAAGTAGGTATTAAATGAAAAAAGAAGTCTTCCTTTCACTCATTCTCCCTCTCCTGTCACTTCTTTCTGGGAGATAAGGAAGAGAAAACAGTAAGATACAATAGCACGAATTCCATGCTGTCTTCCCTCTCCCTATTCATCCCGTTCCTCTATTCTTACACCTTCTCCTCCTCCCTCTTCCCTTCTATTGCCCTTTGCAGCTGTCCTTTCATTCCTCTGTCTTCTGAGGTTTCCTCTCCCCTCTGCCTCCTTCCAGCTGGCCACCACACAAAGAGTCACTGTAAGACCTCACCCTTAACCACAAACTGCCTGTAATAAAAGGCACTGTTTATATTCAAACCAGAGCTGTGGCCAGAATGTGGTGGGCACTATAATTATCACAGGGAACAAAATTTCAGTATTTCCAAAGAAGGAGCATAAACAGTTATATCATCAGAGATGATTATTTTTTTATTGCTGCTACTTGACTACCACTTGGCCCACCTCCCAAACAACATGCCACACCACTATAAACACAGTCCCTATTTAGGACTGCAGAAAGAAGCAGGGTTCTATCACATGCAGAAAGAGCCCAGAACGTCTGAGTGAGAAGAGCAGAGCATCTGAATACCGAGAACCTGGTGTGAGACTAGCACCCATGGCAACCTTGTTAGCTATGTGACCTGGAACAAGATCATTTAAAATCTCTGAATTTCAGTTTCCTCACCTACTATACGGAGATGATCATTAACACCTACTTCAAAAGGTTGTTAGGAATCAAATGAAGTATGTATTAAAGAACTTTGTAAATTATAAAATGCTCCACATAAACATTTGGTTTATTACTGACGTCTAATATTCAATTAATTCTCCTTTCAAGTCTAATAACAGTCAATAAAAGTAACAGAAAATAATGTCTGAGCTGAGCCTAAAATTATTATAAACCTTAATAAGATATGTATTTGTTTACCTCATGAAATCTTAACTACTTTATTATTAATTTTACCGCTTTTATTTTGCATTTTGAACCTATAATTGCCTATTTCTTCTGGCATATATCACTATTTTCACTTTCTTTCAAACTAGTTTTATGCCTGATCTGAATGTTCAACCATGCTTACTTTACTCTTCTATAATTTCCTAAAAAGGAAATTATCTAGTCCTGTTGGTTTAAATACATTCAAATTTAATCACATTTCCCTAACTAGATTACAACTAACCACTCATATTCCCCCTAAGTTTTTGTTCCTATTTAAATATTTTTAACTTTGATACATAAATAGCAAGAAGGGCTTTCTTTGTTGTTCTGATTCAAATAGCAATACTCCCACTCTGAACAAATAGTAGAAAGACTTTAGAAATCCACTCTGTTCCAAAATATAAAGGAATTAACTAAATATTTTATATACACAGAGTTTTGCTAGGCACATTCCAGCTACTAATCAAAATAATTACTCAAAGTTACAATCGTGATAAAGGTTCACAAAATAAATTTTAAAATATAGCTTTAGATTCATAAAAACAGAAAACTTGATAAAAATTACAATGGTGTTAA